CCCCACGCAGCCCCGCTGTGCTCTGCCCCCTCTGCACTGGCACACCAGGAAACCCCTTCGGCAGGTGCCAGCTCAGCTGGGAGCCGCGGCAGTGCCAGCCCTCCCGCTTCCCGCCTGGCCCCGCTAACCAGGGTTTCCTTCCTCCCCTCTCCGCCCAGCCAGCCCTTTGTTCCCCGTGCCTCCGTCAACACACCCCGCGAGATGCCCACCAGCCACCCTTGTCCAGAGCTCAGGCATCCCAGACAGAATCTAACCTGGCACGGAGGGGAGCCGGGCGCCTGCACAAGGGAGGAGGCAGCATCCCCCAGCACCTTCCCACCTGCAGCGCCAAGGGTCTCTCCTCTTCCCTGGCTGGCAGATGCTGGGACGTGCCACACAGCACCCAGCTCCCCTTACCTTGGCTCCACCGCAAGCAGCTCAGGACCATTGTCTCGCAGCCTGCCTAGCCAAGGTGTCAGGACCCCAGTAGAGCCTCTTGCTGCAAGAGGACCAGGGTAGCACCTCTTCTGTGTGACTACCAAGCTGAAACAGCCTCACAGCTCACCCAGTAGTGTCACAGCGATGGATGCAGCCGAGAGCCCAAGCATGCACCAGTGCTGCTTTCCCCTGTGCTCCCTGCTCCACAGAGCGGAACCCCACTGCAGCCCTCAAAGTTGGGGCAGGACACCTCCTTCCAGCCCGCTCCGGCAGCCCCAGGCCTGGCAGGACAGCCTGCCCTCGGACAGCAGCACCCTTGCTCAAGGGAAGCGGTGGCCACAGACAGCAGCGTCCTCCAGGCAGCAGCTGTAGGGCTGGGGATGCCTCTGGGGTGCAGAGCATTGCAGAGTCACCCCTTTCCATCAGACAGGGCTGCCGCGCCACGCAGCTCAGCCTCACCAGAGAGCCCCCAAAGCCGGCTACATGCCCTGGGAATGCCCTCGCCGCTCCCGCCTGCCCTGCCCAGGGCGGCAGCATTGCACAAGCCCTGAGGGCAGCACTGGCCCCTGCGCACAGCGGGGCCGCTGCTTCACGAGGCCCCTGCCCTGGGAGGCTCCTCCATCCGACCAGACCCTTTGTTAAGCGCTGGCTCGCAGCCAAGAGAAACATTTTTTAGAGAATAAACTCACTGAGGCCGTCTCTGCATCCTCGGCAGAGATCGGCAGGCCCCGGGGCAGCGCCACTGGTGACTCCAGGCGCGCGCAGTGCCCTCAGGGTCCGCGTTACTCCATGCTGGGGTGCTGTGGAGACACGTGCCTCTCTGGGGCAGGCGCATGGTGCCAGGCTCGTGCCGGGGACAGGCCTCCACACAGCGCCACGAGCAAAGTTGTCCTTCAAGAAGCAGCCTCCGTGCCAGCTGCCCAAGCGTCAGCGGCACAGGCGATGCAGTCACATTCCAAGGCTTATAAGGCAATTGTGTGGCTGGAACCATGGCCAGCACCCACCCGGGGGACTGGGCCACCCAGGGACAGGGACCCAAGCGCACCCAGGAGCCAGACTCGGCCTGGGTAAGCATCACATCAGGAGCAGCTCACACCAGGCACCTCAGCCACGAGCAGCCGGCAGCAAAACAGCTCTCGCTCACACTGGAGAAA